TGACGAGGTTTGATGTCAGAGAACATGTTGAGAAAAGTCTCCCCACGTCACAGCTGCTGGGGGGTTTCCTCCCCATGGGGGGGGGGCTGTTCCTTCACATGTGTACACACATGATCTACCATGGCCTCTGTGTCCCGCTCTCTTGGACCTCAATGAGCCCCATGAGCAGTGCTATGACGCACCACATGTCACATGATATCAACCCTCTGCTGTATTAAAGTGTGTTTGTGTAGATAGGCCAACATTTGTTGGTATGAATCATTGTGTTGTTTACAGTGTGTCTTTATGCTTGAACTACTTGTTTGGTGCCCAGCAGCAGCAGAATAAGCATCAAGTGGGAGCTGCTACTGGAGAAGTATCATCGTTTTATATGATGAAAATGAATTGAAATGATGGGTTCAAATCTGACCCCTGGCCTCTTGTTATCCAGTCTCTCCCCCCTTTCCAGTCTATCCATCCTCTTTATCTAATACATGCACATATCTTAAAATTAAACAAATGCTTTATGGAAGGCTATCCACAATGTGTTTCCAACAGTTCTGATAGATGAAAAGCTCCAAGTCACCTGGAAAACCATGAGGTATTCAACCCTCCTGTCGTGTTTGGGTCAAATCTATTTATTTTTATTTATTTGACAGGGACAGTGCGCATTGATTAACATTTCTGTAAATGCGCCAGAGTTAGCCAACAGGCTATTTTTCATCTGCAGTCCCTGGACAGATGTTGAAAGTCATCCTAAAAAAAAATGTCACTTCAAATGACAGGTATATACAATCAGTAAAACAACATTCAACATAGATGCTTATATTATGATAAAAGCATATATAAAAACATAAAAACAAAAATACATATTCACGCAGACAGATAGCAACAGGTCAAGGCACATGTGTACAAACAGGGCGTTGTGTTAGTGTTGACAGAGCTGATTTTCCACTAACCATGTTTTTAAATTAGATTTGAATAAACTGCAGGTGTTTTGTTCTCTAATCGTTACTGTGATTGCGTTCCACTGTTGTGCAGCTTTAAAAGAAAATGAAGATTGGCTGAATGAACTCTTCCTTGCAGCTCTTGTTGACCTAGTTACAGGTGTGTGTATGGTGATAAAATGTCTGAGCGGAGGTGAGGTAAGGCCGTGTATTATTTTGTACATGAGGCAAGCATTTGCATATCTAATTACATTTTCCCAGCTCAACAAGTTATATTTTGTGAGTATTGGGCAATGATGAGAATAAACTGATTTCTTATCTACTATTTTAAGTGTTTTTTTGTATAATGATTCCAGGGGTTTAAGAGTGGTTGTACAGGCATGTGACCAGGTCAACCCGGTATCACGGCAAGACGTGAACATGTGACGATTTACCATGCTGGGAGACGTGAAGATGTCACGATTTCGTCCCTTCAAACATGACAGTTACACGGTATTGTTAACATGGCCCAGCCAGTGGAGAAATACCCGGAAATGCCAAGCAAATCCTCTACCCCGACGGTCGGTTGTTATTGTCAATATTAATATAATAATGATTTATTTTGTAATAGTCACACTTCATTTCGCCGATTTTCTTGTTGCCCCAGCTGGTCGACACCTCTTTTAGCAGAAACAAAGGCTACATTAATGTATTAAATCGATGTTAATCCATGCGTGTGGATGTGGTGCGATTGCGTTGCCAGGCAACAGCTTCGGTTCATGTTAATTTACAAACTCTTCAACTACAACCGTAGTTATATTTAAAAACATGTTAGAAGGCCTCACGAAATACTTTAATGTAAATTTAAATTTAAATGTGAAGGAATGTGTGTGTATAACAAAATACATCCGTCATAAACGAAACCGGAAACAGACGTAGGCAAGATCCTCAGCTCGATGATTGGATGGTTTAGCCGCAATGCACGCTGGGATTTGGTGTTTATGCGATGTGAAACCCGAAAACATTTTTTAAAAATAAAATAATACTTTATTCCGAGTGTGCTTGCTTTTCTCTTTGAAAGTCATCACATAACGGCATTGTAATACACGGTTCGGCTGCATTAAATATTACATATCTGCCGTAGTTAACTCTATTTATAGAGCCCTGCTGAGAAGACTTCTAGACAAACAGGAAGAACTGCCGCCAAAACTGACACCTTGACGTGGATCATAAATATATAAGCAATTAAACAACATCTTACATTTATTTTCACACAATACGTCTTCTTGCAGTATTACTAGTACTAATTCGACTGACTTTTATATTTTATACAATTGGTAGATAGGCTGTATTTACACCATAACAGTGCACAGCTGATAGAAAGGGACACCTACTGGTTAAAGCACGTTATTGCATTTTATCATTTTATTATTAGATATTAATAGGATCCCTATAAAGTATATTCATTACTCGTCGTTATTCTCTACTGATAGTTCATTAAAGACTGTATATAATGACTATTTTGCATATCCCTTTCAAGATTTCAAGATTTTCTAAGGTTTATTGACATATCATATTTAGTTTGTCTGTTTTGCACATCCTCATATAGGAGGATGTGCAAAACAGACAAACTAATAAGGCTTAATTTAAACATTAAAGAATACTTTAGGTTAAGGTCTTCTTTTGAATAAGAAAAAAGCTTTGGGGGTATAGAAGATGAATATGGAGGGATGAAACCCTCTTTGATGGTCACACATGCAGAGCACACAGCACACACAGTGACATTTGTATCTACAGATAAATATTAAGCCTGACAAAGTACTTAACGTCTAATATATTGCTTTCCTGCAATGTTAACTATGTTTAAGCACTTATTTGAACTGATATTATACATATGTATTATACTCTTATAAGATGTATGTGGATAGTATAAGAAATGTGCAGAATATGACAGTTTAATGGTGGAGGTACACACACATATTGATAGATGTCTTGTAATGCACTGTTGAGGAACCTGCGACCCAAGTTTTTCATTCATTGCATAACTACACTGTAGTTGTGTATAATATGATATGTCAATAAACCTTAGAAAATCTTGAAATCTTGAATGGGATGTGCAAAATAGTCATTATATACAGTCTTTAATTAACTATTAGTAGAGAATAACGAGTAATGAATATACTTTATAGGGATCCTATTAATATCTAATAATAAAATAATAAAATTCAATAACGTGCTTTAACCAGTCGGTGTCCCTTTCTATCAGCTGTGCACCGTTATGGCGTAAATAAAGCCTATCTACCAATTGGATCAAATATAAAAGTCAGCCGAATTAGTGTTGATACTGCAAGGAGACGTATTGTGTGAAAAGAAATGTAAGATGTTGTTTAATTGCTTATATATTTATGATCCACGTCAAGTTTTCAGTTTTGGCGGCAGTTCCTGTTTGTCTAGAAGTCTTCTCATCAGGGCTCTATAAATAGAGAACTACGGCAGATATGTAATATTTAATGCAGCCGAACCGTGTATTACAATGCAGTTATGTGATGACTTTCAAAGAGAAAAGCAAGCACACTCGGAATAAAGTATTATTTTATTTAAAAAAAATGTTTTCGGGTTTCACATCGCATAAACACCAAATCCCAGCGTGCATTGCGGCTAAACCATCCAATCATCGAGCTGAGGATCTTGCCTACGTCTGTTTCCGGTTTCGTTTATGACGGATGTATTTTGTTATACACACATTCCTTCACATTTAAATTTAAATTTACATTAAAGTATTTCGTGAGGCCTTCTAACATGTTTTTAAATATAACTACGGTTGTAGTTGAAGAGTTTGTAAATTAACATGAACCGAAGCTGTTGCCTGGCAACGCAATCGCACAACGTCACGTCCGTTAATTCCACATCCACACGCATGGATTAACATCGATTTAATACATTAATGTAGCCTTTGTTTCTGCTAAAAGAGGTGTCGACCAGCTGGGGCAACAAGAAAATCGGCGAAATGGAGTGTGACTATTACAAAATAAATCATTATTATATTAATATTGACAATAACAACCGACCGTCTTGGTAGAGGATTTGCTTCGCATTTCCGGGTATTTCTCCACTGGCTGGGCCATGTTAACAATACCGTGTAACTGTCACGTTTGAAGGGACGAAATCGTGACATCTTCACGTCTCCCAGCATGGTAAATCGTCACATGTTCACGTCTTGCCGTGATACCGGGTTGGACCAGGTTGTTAAGCAGTAGGTGATGTGAGATAGAACCATAGAGTGCATGTACATCAGAGCCGCCTCTGTTGACATGCAGTCTCTGGTAAACCTCAAATTTGACAGACTGAATTTGACCCTGTTGCAGACCTTTTTCACCTGAGCCTTAAAATTGAGTCTTGAATCAATTAAGACCCCCAGGTATTTGTACTGTGAGACCACCTGTAGCCTCTCCCCGGACACAAACACATCTGGCTCAACGCAGGAGGACTTGGTTTTGGTGAAGAACATACATACAGTTTTACTGACATTTAGTTGCAGACAGCATTGCTCCAACCAAGCTGTTACATGAACCATCTTGTTCGTCAGTTCATTAGCCACTTGTGTCAGACTGCCTCCGTGAACATAAATTACAGTATCATCAGCATACATTTGGATGTTTGTGTCAGGACATATCGATGGTAAGTCGTTTATATACAATGACAATAACAATGGACCCAGAATTGACCCTTGTGGGCCACCTGTGGACAGCTGGAGGTTAGATGATTGATTATTCTGTACTCTAACATACTGAGAACGGTTGAACAAATATCATAAATATTGTGTTTTAATTTGTTTCCTCAAGGCCTTATGATATCCTCCACATTAGGCTTTGAACATATACATTGCTGATCACCACTTTATTGAATTTTGAGTGGTTTAGTCATCTTTGTTACACCATGTTCATCCATCAGATAGAACACACCATAATATGTATTTACAGCTTAAATGGGTATTAAATAGAAGTTGGGGATGATGAATGGTTTTTGTGTTTATGTAATAGCAGTTTAAATAGACTTGTCAAATTTGACCGGGAACACCAAAGTAAGGGGGGAGAAATGAACACGACAGGAGGGTTAAGGGCTGCAGAACAGGTGCTGCTCAGGTGGGGTTACTTCCAATTAACCCTTCACTTCTTGTTAGCTGAACCTAAATACACATTTCAGAACCAAATTAAAACATATGGTTACAATGGTACAGCTAGGCAATAATAGACGTTCCTTTCCCTGGTCACATTAACCAGCTCTAACTGGGGGATTCCGAGACGCTCCCAGACCAGAGTGGAGATAAAATCCCTCCACCAGGTCCTGGGTCTGCCCGGTGTTCTCCTCTCAGCTGTAAGTACCTGGAACACCTCTCTCTGAAGCAACCCGTTGTCATCCTTACTAGATGCCCTTTTCCACCCCAACTGGTTCTACGCCTTCTCCAAATCCACAAAACACATGTTAACGTGATAGGCATACTCCCAGGCCCTCTCCAGGATCGTTGCCAGAACTTGAATTGTTCCTCCTCAATCTGAGTTTTCACTTTCGACCGGACCCTAGAGTGAACTTTCCCGGGGAGGGTTGAGTAATGGGTTCAAAATTGGCACCATAGGCGTCATTTATACTGGGGACGCTGGGGACATGTCACTTTGTGGGTGTATTTCTGGTAACACAAGTGGTGCAGTTTGGACCTGCGACACGTTTATTATCAGTAATAATTGAATAGAGAATAGTAAAGCAGTAGTTGCTCACGCCCTGCAGTAGCCTAGCATAGTTACTGCACTATTTGTCAAAAAAGTATTGTAAGCATATGTATGTATTGTTTGTGGGGGGCGCTTAATGCAGTAGTGTTTTTTCAAATCGGAAAAAAAGTGTCCCCACCACTTTTTCTAACAAAGTAAAGCCCATAATGGGCACACCCTCTGGTCCCCCTTCTTGAACTGGGGAACCACCACCGTTCCTTCGGTACAGCCCCCAACTTCAACACAAAGTTGATGAGATGTGTCCCTCAACACCCTAAGCCTGCAGCGTTTCTGGACAGATCTCATCACTCCCTGGGGCTTTACAGCAGTGGAGAAGTTGAACCACCTCAGTGGCTCGAAATACCCGAGTCTCAGATGCACCACCAATACCTCTCCAATATACACATAATACAAATATATTCTAAGGCAAACTGTATCACCGGTAAAGGTAATTGACTGTAGAGACCATTCCCCAGTCTCAAATATGTTGAAATGATCTCCACCCTAAAAATACATAACACTAACAAGGACACTCTTTACATCCATCCCGTCCAATCTCTTTATCAATGTATGTACTCTGGGTTTGTGTACTTGCGTGTTCCTCTTTGTTTTCTGTCACTATGGGTTTTATTTATTCCTTAGTTTGTGTGCTTCTACAGCATCTGTGACTCACAGACAAACAGGACAGCAGGTGGTGTGTGATGTAATACGGGGCACATATAAGTCTGTCTGCTGGATCTACCTGAGGAGCACACTAGAGACTCTCGCTGGCCAACTGGACCCCTCACGGGTTCAGCTTTTAGACATGTCTAAATAAGCATACTGAAACTTTTCACAGGGCTTCAAAGAGCACATCAGTTGTAGCTTTTTCTTCATGGCTTTTCCTCTGAGAGACTGAAGCTGGAAAACATTTTGGGTCCATTTTTAAGAATAAATTGATACTTAGACTTACAAATTTATACTAAGAAGTACAGAATAGTCAAATCTCTAAGGCTTCCAGGATTGCTGCGCAGAGCATGTCATCATCCAGGTCCAGGCTGCCTCTGCTCCTGCATGGGATCCTGCTGTGCAGCTCCTTCGCTCCTCTCCCGGTCATCAGCAGCAGGAGACAGAGCCTCCGGAGCGTCCGGAGCGCCGGGCCGCTGGTGCGCTCCTGGGAGAAGAGGGAGGATATGGCTGGAGATGGAGAGTACCTTCTGGGGATAAAGAGACTGAGGAGGCTGTACTGTAACGTGGGCATCGGGTTCCACATCCAGGTCTTACCAAACGGCAAGGTCACAGGAGTGCATAATGAAAATAGATACAGTAAGTCACCTTGCATTTTGCTGTTCAAATCCATGTAAAGCAGGCTACACATGTGTTACTGTACACGGCACACATTCACCTAGTCTTTCTATAGTAAGACTTGAGTTACTTGAATCACTCGAATGAGTATGGATTGTTTAAAGTGCGTGTGCATACCAGGTGCTCACTGGGCACAATGGGAAAGGGTCTTACTTTTTCGTCAAAATCTCTGATGTTTTATATAAAGTGTTTCATGTTGTGTTTCATTGTAAAGAATGTGTATCATGATGTTACCTCTGTGGATATTCTGTGCTTGAGGAGCCTATGCTCCATGAAATAAATTGTACTTTCCTAAATCTCCTTCTGTTATTATTATTATTATTATTTGTATTAATATTATTCTAGGTACTACGTTTCCTTGCCAAAATTCTAGTTTTTACAGATTTCGGTTTCAGATTTCTGTTAATTATCTGACATTCAGTTAAATAACTTAATGAATCCTTATGAATTTACATTTTAAACTCTGTGTGATATTTGTGTGAATTCAACCGCTGTCTGAGTGGATTCTGATTCACTCAGCGAGCCAGAGAGTTGATAGATTTGGACAGAAAGACGTGCGTGTCTTGGACTCAGTGTGATACATTTGTTGAGTCCAGCAGATGTTAAGTACCTCTAAGAACACTCTCTAAGTGGTTTGGCCTTTAGAAGGTAAATGTGTTCAGTTAGAAGTGCAACACATAAGTGAGCCACAGTCCTTTCAAGCCCTGCAGTTTGAAGCTGATGAATAAAAACATTATTCTGGGTTGTTCCAACTTTTCCTGTTCAAAATATATTTTTTGATATAACACTTCTGAAACAATCATAGTGAGCATCATTTTGTTCGGCTTTCTCTTTAAGATGCCCTTTATCATTTCTGTTTCATCCCAGGCCTTCTGGAATTGTCCCCGGTGGAGAGAGGAGTGCTGACTCTGTTTGGAGTGAGGAGCGGCCTCTTCATCGCTATGAGCGACAAAGGGAAGCTCTACGGCTCGGTAAGAACCGGTTCGGACTTTTCTTCTCCATAACCACTGTTTTTAAACTTATGCAAGTTCTAACTAGTAGCTGGTTACGGCACATCTGAGTACTGTCGCAGTTGTGCTTGGGTGTCCCAGAACATTGCAGCACTTTATCTTTCTCTCTTCAATGGTCAATGGGGGTCCCTGCTGGGTCATCGGGAAACTCTTGGCTGAAAAGAAATCCCCCGCAGATGACGCAGTTAACGCGTGGCCGACTCGTAGCGCCCCTGTGGCGCATCATATGGGAATCCGTTGTAATGGTTAATGTAGTATCCGGAGCAGCGATGGGAGCTGACGCAGTTTACTGCAGCTGAAATAATCTGGCATTATCTTTATGACGTGAAAGATGTGCTTCCCACACAGAGCACACATTCAGTGAAAACTATCCCATCATGATGCTGTCATAATGTACAGCTCTAAACAACATTATGCTGAAGATGTTTTGTGTAAAAGCCCAATCAATCAAGATGGTTTTTTTTGCAATGAAAAGGGAGACAGTTGAAGGTGACACACCTTTGGCAACTAATAATTAAGCAATAGCTCACGACAGGCCGTGGTATATGCTCATTATATCACAGCTAAGGGGCGTGGTTCGGCCCGACGCGAAGCGGAGGGTCGACAACCCCCTTAGCTGTGATATAATGAGCATATATCACGGCCTGAAGTGAGCTATTGCTTTTATAAAACGGTTACCAAGTGTGGCAATATAAAAGAAAAATACACACTCTAATTTAAGTAGTTGTTATTATTAAATAATGATGTTCAAAATAAAATAGTCCCCCCGTTGCCTTCTGCACAAAACATAGTGCGAGGTGGTTGCTATGCAACAACACTAACAACAGCTAGCGAACAAATTAGACAGACAGCGTTGATCGGTTATTTGGCTATTTATTTACATTAATTTGTATGTTGCCGTTTATTGTGCACCCACTGAAAAACTGTGCAGCATCCGTAGACTGGCTTACAAGGTTACTTGTACTAGGCTGCGGTTGTACTCGGCTGTTGCTGGGCGTGGAGAGAATATTGCTCCATTTTCTCCGGTCTGCGAGATTCGGCTTCCAGTAGCTCTGGAGAGAGCTTTCGCACCTGTGGCCACTAACGGTCATAATTTCTCTGCTTTCAAGACCCGCATCAGAAAGCTTCTGAATGGTGGTACTGCGGAGGCAGTGGTTGGTGTATTTCTGCTGTGTTCCTGCTTGCTTGCACATTCTAGGCAACATTGTCGAAAGGTGATTTACGCCCATTGGCTCTCGAGTGAACCTGTAACAAAGCAAATGTGATTTTTAGTAGCTATCCTAATCTAGCCTAATCTATTAAAATAATATGCACTACACATCATTTACCAAATATTGTCGACATCGCAGTTCACTTGTCTTCTTGGGTGTAGATAAAAGGCAGGTGCGTCCGGGGGTAGGAGGGAGATGTATTTTTCCAACGAAGAAACGGGGCAGAGAGGATCACCAGGCAGTTCACACATAAATCCCCTTGTGCTCTCTTTATTTCTCGCCTGCGGGTCGTTGTGGTTTTTTGTGTGCTCATTGAACGTCAGCGTTACATACTTAAGCCCGTTTTCGTCTGTTTTGGTGGTGAAAGACGAGGGTTTGAGCTGCCGATTACCCTCATTTCCCCTGCGTCCAAAGTGCAGTTGAACGTCAAACCACACCTTGTTTACTAGCCCCTCCGGAGTTTTGGGATCAAGTACTTGCTTGATAGCTTTAAAGTCATGTTCTGTTATGGAAGAGTGATGGACTGAAGTGTCGAGTCCCTTCTTTCTCAACATTTTCACAACGCCGATGAACACATTGTTGCAAGTTGTGAACTCGGTGTCTTTGAGGATGGACCAGGACAGACTGAGTGGTGGGTCATTTATGTGCCGGTTGAGTCCAGCACGTAGACCGATATAGCTGCTCAGGCCGTATAGTTCGCCTTTACCGTTTCTGACAGTTGCATAAAAATCTCTCAAGATGTTATTGAGCTGCTGTTTTGTCGACGTCTGAAAGTCTATGACCACAGAATTATCCTGACACCAGTCTTCAAAGCACTTAACTGCCCATTTTGTTTGCTTCACGGTGTTCTGTTCGTTTCGTTTTTTTTCTAGTTGGTCTACCTGCTCATCACGTAGCTCTGCATGTCTTCGTTTAGCAGGGGGCTTTTTTTCTGGAGATAGGCACTCCTCCTCAAGCCACTCCTCCATAGTAAGACCACCCCGGAGGTCGAAGTTAATCTTAAATGTGTCCATGTTATGCTTTGTAAGTTTGTTTCGTAACGGAAGAAATGTAAATATATTTATAAACGGACAAGTCAAATCAAGCAATCTGATTGGTCGATAGCGTTTTTGCGGACCTTTTTGATTACAGATTTGAAAACATTGTTGCTTGCTTTAAAAGTAGCACAATTAATTATGTCAAACCTTAGAAAGTATCTAGATATCCCTGCCCTAATGCCAAAGGAACTGCACACTGAATATGTTTTGCCGTTTGATGTCTATGTCTGGACCGCTGCGTAAAAAGGAGGGTTTCTGCCCCGTTACTTCTCCGCTGCTTTCTTGTTCCAGTTTGAAAAGCAAACTGCAGGCAGTTTGCTTTTCGGGCCAACTGTATACTGTTTATCTCAGACGCGGAGGGATACTGAGTTGTTGTGAAAAGTAACTTACAATTCTACCCGTGGTATACGCTCAGTATACCACAGCTAAGAACCAATCAGATTGCTTGATTTGGCTTGTCCGTTTTATAATACCTCATATTTGGTCTATGAAAGCTACAATGTAATTTATTCAACAGAGATGAAAATGAATAATTGGTAATGAATGATATGGGCCTTCAGTAAGAAATAACTGCGTGTGACAACAACCCATGTACTGGAGCTCAGTTGAGGGGGGCATGGGTTTGAAATCCCTTTCAAATCTATCTCAAATAAAGGTTAAATTGGTCTAAAAAACTCAAACTTTGTTGGTGAATAGACTAGACAACCTTCTTTAAAATTTATAAAGTTCCACCTAACTCAACAACTCACATCGTGATTTTAAATGGGGCCTGGCAGGAGCGGACTGGGACTGAAAAACAGCCCTGGACCAGTGTTCATTTTGGCAGCTATTTTTGATTTAGTCTTAGTCTTTAGACGGAAATGGTTATTAGTTTTAGTCACATTTTAGTCCTTTTTATCCTTCATAGTTTTAGTCTAGTTTTAGTCGACGAAAACTAAAAAACGTTTTAGTCCACTTTTAGTCGATGAAAAATCTTTACATTTTAGTCAACTTTTAGTCTCTCTTTAAATTAATTCAGTCATATTTATATAAGTTATAAATAAAATATGTATAATTATGTTATTATATTGTACTGTACTTGAGTAAAATGTTGAGGTCCTTGTACTTAACTGGAGTATTTAAGTATTTTGCTACTGTGTACTTCTACCCCACTACAGTTCAGAGGTAAATGGTGTACTTCTACTCCACTACATGTATTTAATACCTTTAGTTACTTTACAGATGTGGATGAATGATGTGAAATATAATCAAGTGTAAAATCAGACTTTAGTTCCACCTGGAGTAAATCCACAAGCTACCCTGCAGTATACAAAGTCATTCAAACTAGCTGCACCTTTACCAGCTTTGAGAACACTTTAATGATCAATCATTATAAAACATATCATATATATTATTCTGAAATGGACCAATCTGCACAATGATTACTTTTACTGTCGCTACTTTCACTATATTTTGATGATAATACTTTTCTACTTTTACTTGAGGAACATTTTGAATGCAGTACTTTTACTGTAACAGAGTATTCCTACACTCTGGTACTTTTTTACTTAACTACAAGTACATCTCCCACCAGTAATTGGGGCAACAGAGCTACGAGTTAAGGAAGTCGAAAATTGTGCATTTCTCCGACTGAATATGACGCCTTTTGGCCAGCTGTTTGGACAGACTGCTCGTGTCAACGCGCTTACGCGAAAACACTAATGGCAAACGAGCTTTGTCCACATTGAGCCTTGTAGAGTGTCTCTATACTTTTGAACGCTCCGTCCCCGGCAGATCTCTGTGTGCCGCTGCAGCGTCTGTGAGGCCCCGCCCCCCCCGCACAGACCAGACACAGAGGGTGTTTCTCAATGTCGAGTAAAGCTGCTCCAAAGCCACTATTTCAAGCATACTACGTCATCGAGTGCCGCCGAAGTACTGTTCCAATGTCCAGCATACTTGGAATTCTACCGAGCCCGGCATACTCCGTTTGGAAAAATGTCGAGGCTGCACATGTGTAGACTCTGCAGTCTTAAAATCCCCACAATGCTTTGCGCACGGACCAATTTCCCCAAATCTGTGGCAGAAGATGTAAGGCGGGGCCTCTCATATGACGCACACCTGCACACTTGCTCGCCTGTTCCATTCTTCGTTTTCCGAATGCCAGGAAGTATTCTTGCCTCGCTTCTGAAGCAAGATGCTCGGAAGACATGTGCTACCAAGCAAGCGTACTCGAGATTGAGAAACACCCTGGGAGATCGCTCTTCTGGAGTGAAGAGAGCGGAAATAATGATATTTCAAATTAGAAACGGAGGATGCATTTTGGCGGACAATTGGGGGAAAATATCCTGCATTTTGAATGTCCGATAGTCCACCATTTACACCTTAGTCCCGTCCCGTCTCGTCAACGAAAACAAAATATACATTTCGCCAGTTTTTATTATCAAGAATCTATTTTTAGCTCGTCATCGTCTCGTCTTTAGTCATGTGAGGGAGGCTGTGGCTCAGTGAATAGTGTGCTGGACTTCGAATCAGGGGATAGCAGGTTCAAGTCCCACTGCAGTCAGCATGTCGTTGTGTCCCTGAGACACTTCACCCCAAATTGCTCCTGTGGGGATTGTCCACAGTACTGAATGTATGTAAGTCGCTTTGGATAAAAGCGTCTAACAAATTACATGTAATGTAATGTAATGTAAAAAAGGTCGTTGACGAACATTTTTCGTCATAGTTTTCGTCG